ATGGTGAAACCTCATCTCTACTAAAAATACAAAAATTTAGCCAGGCGTGGTGGTGCTGGCCTGTAATCCCAGCCATTCGAGAGGCTGAGGCAGGAGAATTGCTTACTCTTGGGAGGCAGAGGTTGCAGTGAGCTGAGATTACGCTATTGCACTCCAGCCTGGGCGATAGGCAGGCTCCTTCTCAAATGAATGAATGAATGAATAAATAAATGAGAAAAGTCAGCAAGGGACATTAAGTTTCAGACAGGACAGCTAAATCGCTTTCTTTGTTTTTTTCATTTTGTTTTCTTTCTTTTATTGTTGTTTATTTTTTGGAGACAGACTCTCACTCTGCCGCTCAGGGTAGCATATAGTGGCGCGATCTCGGCTCACTTGCAACCTCTGCCTCCTGGGTTCAAGCGATTCTCTTGTCTCAGCCTCCTGAGTAGCTGGGATCACAGGCGTGCGCCACCATGCCCATCTAATTTTGTATTTTCAGTAGAGACGGGGTTTCACCGTGGTAGTCAGTCTGGTCTCGAACGCCTGACCTCAGATAATCTACCCACCTTGGCCTCCCAAAGTGCCGAGATTACAGGCATGAGCTTCTGCACCTGGACTTGGTTTTTCTTCTGAGACAGGGTTTTGGTCTGTCACCCAGGCTGGAGTGCAGTGGTGCAGTCATAGCTCACTGCAGCCTCAAAGTCCTGAGTTCAAGTGATGTTCTTGCCTCAGCCTCCCAATGTGCTGGGATCTCAGGCATGAACCACCGTGCCTGGCCTGAAAGCAAGCTTTCTTATCCCTATCACTGACCTTTATCAAGTCTAGTCAAATTGTCTGTGGCCTCCCAAGTGTCCCTCAGGAGTGATGCTTTGAATCCTCTGAGTCCTCCCACATGGAGAGCTCACCCATTTGGGGGCATTTCCCGTTGGGAAAGCATGGTTATGGGAAGTTTCCTCTTTTTTAAAAGAAAAGGATTAGAGGTGCTATCTGGGGTTTCCTCCTACCAAGCAGCGTGTTGAAGGCCTCGTAGTTCTTAGGGAGCGCGGGTGACACTCGCCGTCGCTTTAGCTTCATCTTGAGCCCACACAGGGTGTCTAGCACCCAGGTCTCCTCAGGCTCAGGGGCGCGCTCCTTCTCTGCCTCCTCCTCGGACTCCTCCTCAGATTCGTCCAACCACTCCCTCTTCCTTTTACAGCAAAGGATATTAGGCGTACTAGGATCTACCCAAGGAGACAAGTAAAGAAAGCAGGCCACCATGTAATGCTTCTGCAATTGATCACCTTAGACCCCGACCCCAAACCCCAATCCACTCGCCATCCTCCCGAGCCCCGCAGACTGTTGGCTTCTGTAAGCCATTTTCCCATCTTTCTCCCTTACTGAACCCCATGTACCTCTCCTTCTCCTCCCATTCTTCCATCTGTCTGTCCTCAGAATGCTTCATTTCCTTCCCTAGTCCCTGGATCTCTGACTCCCTCCTTTTTTTTTGAGACAAAGTCTTTCTCTGTTGCCCAGGCTGGAGTGTAGTGTTGCCATCTCGGCTTGCTGCAACCTCTGTCTCCCAGGTTCCAGTGATTCTCCTGCCTCAGCCCTCCAGGTATCTGGGATTACAGGTGCCCACCACAATTCCCAGCTCATTTTTGTATTTTTTGTAGAGACAGGATTTTACCATGTTGGCTAGGCCGGTCTCAAACTTGGCCTCATGTGATCCACCTGCCTTGGCCTCCCAGAGTGCTGGGATTACAGGTGTGAGCCACTGCGCCTGGCCTGAGTCCCTTCTTTCTTCCCCCATACCCTCCTCAAGTGTTCCTTTCTGATGACTGGGTTCTTCCTTCTTTTTTTTTTTTTTCCTCTCAGGGTCTTACTCCCTCACCCAGACTGGAGTGCAGTTTTAGGATCTCGGCTCATTGCAGTCTCTGCCTTTGAGGCTCAAGCACTTCTCCTGCCTCAGCCTCCTGAGTAGCTGGGATTACAGGTGTGCACCAGTACTGCCAGGATCATATTTGTATTTTCAGTAGAGACAGGGTTCCACCGTGTTGGCCATGCTGGGTTCAAACTCCTGACCNGCCTGGCCTGAAAGCAAGCTTTCTTATCCCTATCACTGACCTTTATCAAGTCTAGTCAAATTGTCTGTGGCCTCCCAAGTGTCCCTCAGGAGTGATGCTTTGAATCCTCTGAGTCCTCCCACATGGAGAGCTCACCCATTTGGGGGCATTTCCCGTTGGGAAAGCATGGTTATGGGAAGTTTCCTCTTTTTTAAAAGAAAAGGATTAGAGGTGCTATCTGGGGTTTCCTCCTACCAAGCAGCGTGTTGAAGGCCTCGTAGTTCTTAGGGAGCGCGGGTGACACTCGCCGTCGCTTTAGCTTCATCTTGAGCCCACACAGGGTGTCTAGCACCCAGGTCTCCTCAGGCTCAGGGGCGCGCTCCTTCTCTGCCTCCTCCTCGGACTCCTCCTCAGATTCGTCCAACCACTCCCTCTTCCTTTTACAGCAAAGGATATTAGGCGTACTAGGATCTACCCAAGGAGACAAGTAAAGAAAGCAGGCCACCATGTAATGCTTCTGCAATTGATCACCTTAGACCCCGACCCCAAACCCCAATCCACTCGCCATCCTCCCGAGCCCCGCAGACTGTTGGCTTCTGTAAGCCATTTTCCCATCTTTCTCCCTTACTGAACCCCATGTACCTCTCCTTCTCCTCCCATTCTTCCATCTGTCTGTCCTCAGAATGCTTCATTTCCTTCCCTAGTCCCTGGATCTCTGACTCCCTCCTTTTTTTTTGAGACAAAGTCTTTCTCTGTTGCCCAGGCTGGAGTGTAGTGTTGCCATCTCGGCTTGCTGCAACCTCTGTCTCCCAGGTTCCAGTGATTCTCCTGCCTCAGCCCTCCAGGTATCTGGGATTACAGGTGCCCACCACAATTCCCAGCTCATTTTTGTATTTTTTGTAGAGACAGGATTTTACCATGTTGGCTAGGCCGGTCTCAAACTTGGCCTCATGTGATCCACCTGCCTTGGCCTCCCAGAGTGCTGGGATTACAGGTGTGAGCCACTGCGCCTGGCCTGAGTCCCTTCTTTCTTCCCCCATACCCTCCTCAAGTGTTCCTTTCTGATGACTGGGTTCTTCCTTCTTTTTTTTTTTTTTCCTCTCAGGGTCTTACTCCCTCACCCAGACTGGAGTGCAGTTTTAGGATCTCGGCTCATTGCAGTCTCTGCCTTTGAGGCTCAAGCACTTCTCCTGCCTCAGCCTCCTGAGTAGCTGGGATTACAGGTGTGCACCAGTACTGCCAGGATCATATTTGTATTTTCAGTAGAGACAGGGTTCCACCGTGTTGGCCATGCTGGGTTCAAACTCCTGACCTCAGGTGATCCACCCACGTAAGCCTTCCAAAGTGCTGGGATTACAGGTGTGAGCCACTGCGCCCGGCCCCTTTCCTTCTTCTTAGTCAATCCTCTCCCATCTCTTCTTTCTCCAGTCCCCTCACCTGATGGTCCTGGCACTTCATCATCCACCACCTCTAGGAGGCAGTACCCCAAGGTGCTAGGCTGGGGGCTCCTCTCTTCAACCTGGGGCTGTGGTTGACATCTAGCCATGATCTCTCCCAAACTCTGTTCCCTCCCACGGAACCTGGTTCCTGTTCTGTCCAAAGCCTTCTTCCAGACTCGACTAGGACCCAGCAGAGTGTGTGCTATATTCTCAAGGCTGGGGAGCAGTCAGGAGCAGAGAACAGCTCTAAGAAGATGCTGTCGTCCACCTGAGCTCCCAAGCACCAACATTTCAGTCCAATCAGGAAGACTGGAATCTCTCATGTCGCTGATTATTCCAACCTGGCAGCCTGTTTGAAGAAAAGCATAGCGGGTGGGCATGGTGGTTCAAGCCTGTAATCCCAGCACTTTGGAAAGTGGAGGCGAGCAGATCATGAGGTCAGGAGTTCAAGGGCATCCTGACTACCACCGTGAAACCTCGTCTCTACTAAAAATATAAAAAATTAGCCGGCGTGGTATGATCTTTCCCAGCTACTCGGGAAGCTGAGGCAGGATAATCGCTTACATCTAGGAGGCGGAGGTCGTAGTGAGCCAAGATCACGCCATTGCAGTCCAGCCTGGGTGATAGGGGAGGACTCTGTCTCTAAAAAGCAAATAAAGTCAGCAACAGACATTAAGTTTCAGAGGGTACAGCTGAAACTGCTTTCTATGTTTTTTTATTTTGTTTTTATTTTATTTTTATTTTCATTTATTTTTTGGAGACAGAGTCTCATTTTGTCACCCAGGCTGGAATGCAGTGGCGCCATCTCGGCTCACTTGCAACCTCTGCCTCCCTGGTTCATCCTCCTGCCTCAGTCTCCTGAGTAGCTGAGATTACAGGCTTGTGCCACCACACCCATCTAATTTTTTATGTTGAGCACAGACAGGCTTTCACCATGTTGGTCAGGCTGGT